ATAAGAGAAACGATCTAGCTCGCTTTGTCCTTTCCCTCTCTCCACGGTCGAGTGGTTCGCGAGACGCTCTGTCTGCTTTCTCACTCTCGCTCTTCCTAAATTGTATCTTTTTTCTCTAGCCGTAACGAATCTGTCGCGAGTTATATTTTACTCTCAACGTGTTCAATCATTCGAACCTAGTCTCATTTGAGTGAGTCAAAACAACGAATAACTTTCTATGTCGGGCGCACTTCGCATAACTCGATACGATATCAAAGATAGATTTTACTACAGTTCTCGGTTCCAGTAAATTCTCTCGTAAATTAAGCTTCGTTAAATGTACAGAATTAACAGCCCGGAATCGGATTTCGGTTTCTGATCAACTCGTCAAAGGGAGGGGTGATTATTTTTGAGGATTCGTCACAGCTGTTGCTATATGCTATTCGCTTTTATATTATTCGTTTTTAAAAAGCTTTATTTATTAACTCGGTGTTTGCTTCTATGCGACGCAATCTTTCAACGCCAATTTCACTGACTCCAAGTCGTCGGATTATTCACTGGTGGTAGGACCTCTTGTGAGTCCGCATGGGTAGGTACCACCGCCCTGCCTATTTCTGTCGTGAAGCAGTATGCGCTTCGGTTTGAATGACGGGGCAGTCGTTGTAACTATACTGATACCTTAGAACTCATATCTCAAGGTGGGTGGCGGCATTTACATTTTAGATGTCTATGGGCTCCGGTAACCACCAATATCAGGTGGGCTGTGAGCTCGTCCACCTATCTACGCTATAATCTATATCTAGAAAAATGAATTGCTGTTCGTTAGTCTCGCTAAAACTCGAGAACGGCTGGACCGATTTGGCTAATTTTAGTCTTGAATTATTTGTGGTAGTTCAGAGAAGGCTTAAAAGATAGATAAATATGAAAATAGTCGGAATTAAATAAAAATAACAATTTTGCTTTTCCTTTGATATGTCCCCCGTCGGACGGATTCCTTTTGTTTGTGTTAAGTTTATTTTATACAAAAGTTTAGGTCTTTTATTATCGATTGAGGCACTACAAAGTCTGCCGGGTCAGCTAGTAAAAAAATAAAAATAAAAACTTGAAAATTTGCCAATATATCAAGGACCCATAACGATACAATAATGCTATATATTATATCTTCGCTCTAAAATCCTGTTACAACTAGTATAAGCAGAATTTTAAAAAGCCGATGCAATTAATTATTACTTCGGTTTCCTATATAAGTGTGCCTTTTTTAATATCACATAATAAAACATATATGTACATGTATTATATATATATATATATATATTTTGCAAGTGCAATTAAGTCATGATTAGTACGTCCATGGAGTAATAATAACTAACGTTTAAATAATTTTGACGGCGGATCTATTTTAGTTATTAAAGGAATTGTTTACCGTACTTTTTACGGAAAACTAAATTATTTTAGCATTCTATTCTGTACCAAAAGCTGAGCTTCGAGCCCATCAATTCAATAAAATCTCATTACACTCAAAATTGCCACTGATAAATCTCCTAACATTTCATTAAGCGTCGAGCAAACATAACCGACGGCATTATTATTCAGGGGATGAAATATACAACCCGGTTTACGTGTAGGTAATACTATTGTTAGTTCGAGACGTTTGTCGTATTATGAATACCGAACAATGGGGGATGCTTTGCGTTAAGAGCATTTCTGGTTTGAACTAGGTGAATATGCCAGTGAAAATTTAATAAAAAAAATTCACGACCACGGACGTCTATGAGCACCAGTAACCACTTAACACCAGGTGAGCTGTGAACTCGCTCATCCATCTAAGCAGTAAAAAAAAATATGTACCGCTAATACCATAAATATAAATATATTATTGAATAAGAACAAATTTGAAAGAATCCTGATAATGGTTTCTGATTGTAATAAAAAAAATACATTGAATAATCTAATGTAAATATTTATACACTAGCGACCCGCTCTCGCTTGGCTTCGGGAACTGTAATTTAGTTTTGGTTAAGAAAATAAAATGGCAGTTTTTTAACCTACTTGACATTTATCGTATTTTTTTGGTAGTTCACACTAGAGTTGCCACGAATAGTGGTTTGGCCGAATACCGAATATTCGGCAACGCTGTCGGCCGAATCGCCGAATATTCGGCACAAAGTACATGCTAGTTAGTCGAGTGTGTAAAGAATAATACGACAAGTCCTGCCCGTCATTTTTCGGTATAGTATGTTCTATTCGGCCGAATACCGAATACCAAACAAAGTGGCCGAATACCGAATAGTAGCCGAATATTCGTGGCATGTCTAGTTCATACTATATCATTATAAGTTATAGTATATCTGTATATATTCTGATGTGTAAGCTATATTCTTGTAAAGTTTCATCAGTATCCATCCAGTAGTTTTTGCGAGAAAGAGTAACAAAGATACATCCATACATTCTTACAAACATTCACGTTTATAATATTAGTAGGATTATTTTATTTATCGTACACGATCACTGATTCATTTTACTATTGTTGTTCTAGTCCTACTACATGCAATAGAGAGAGATAGCCAGAGGGTTGAATTTTCCCCTTGCCACAACTCTTTCCTTTATTTCTTACTAACCAAACCCGACCGCTCTACTGCCGAAAACGGTAAATTACAAAATATATTGCGGTGCCATTATGAGGTTTCCTTGTTATTTGTTAGCTTAGTATGTTTTCCGAATAGCAGAAGCATCGTATTCATGCAATAATAACAAACAAATAAAAATATAAAACTCAACAACAGCACAGTGAATGTTTTAGTGATTTTTTTACGACATTAAAAACGAAGTGAATAACAACAAAAGAAAACCCTGAAGCTATATTATTATAGTCATATTTTTAGTGTCGCTTCGACTGGGACGCGAGGTTTTCAATCAAAGAGAACGACTTATCAAAGTAAAATCATCAAAGTGCCCTGGAATTAAAAAGAAGATTGTGTTCGCAGATTTTAAATGATTTTTTTAAGAGTTGTTTTTGGAACGAAGTTTTGGAACGAAGTTCCTTATGGGACGATGCGGAGGGGTACCCTAACCGGGAAAAAACGTCCGTAACGTAAGACTTTTATTAGTAATGTACACAGTGTACGAATTAACTTTGTAATAACGTACAAAAAATATTTTTTTTTTTTAATATATTTTTTATAAATTATTGTGAATAAAATAGAGTTCATAGCTTTGTAAAGCGGTTTTTATTATTATTTTTATTAATAAAAAAATCATAATAAAAAATGTATACCCGAATTATATTCTGTATACCTCGAATAGAACTTAAAATTAATATTTAATAAGGAACTTCGTTCTTATCCGGTGTCCCACGACACCACAAATCTTTTTTTTAAATAATTACCTATAGCTATTATAGCTATAATAACAAGTTCAGATCATCGTTCTATCGACCAAATTCGTTAACAAACAATTCCATTTTCCATATTAATTTTAATAGTAGTGTAATTGTTTAGTGTATATTGTGAGTAAAATTATTTCCTCACGTTATAAGTTAGATTGGTTTTCGTTATCACGTGGTTTTGTTGTATAGTTGAAAGGACCATTGTGTACAAATTCAGCACATTTGTCTAACTTAAAGCCTTCGTCAAACAGAACGCGTATTTAGCGCCGCGTACTTAACGTCGCGCTCTTCAAATTGACTAGATGAGTCTAACGCTCCTTGACGCAACGCATTCGCCAAATCATAGTGCCTTTCAATAGCAGTGTGAAGTTTAAAAGTGTTAAGAAGTCGAGTGATTCAGATGTGGCATTGTATAAGCATGGGTATTTTCTAACTATTTATATCACTTTTTCGGGCATTATCTAGTATTTTAATACACATTCACTCGGACGTTAAAATAAAATTTGTAAAAATTTACAACACCTGACGTCAAAGCGCCCTAACGCCGCGACAGAGCGCTGCGTACTTATAGCGCTGGAGCTCTGTTTGACGGTATGATACCATAGTAGTACAAAACATCTCGGCGTCATAGCGTAGCGGTCTGACGCGCGCTAATTACGCGTTCTGTTTGACGAAGCCTTTAGTCGTGCGCACATGGCTTATGTTGCAAGTTGTATTTTGTTTTTTTTTTACTTGTTATATGTTTTGTGTATCTTTTTAGCTGGCACCTGGTGGTAGTCTGTACCATGTGGTCCATGCCACCCGTGATCGAACACAGTGGACAGTGGTGAGTTTACATTAAAGGCAGTCGGGGCAAATGCCCAGGATGGCAAAATTTGTAGGGCAGCAAAATTTCGAAAGTGAAAAAAAAAATTTTTTTAGTCTTATCAAGATTGCTCAATATAATTAATTAATTCTATTAATGAATAATTTTCTGTTTAATTGATAATTCAAGAAATTGAAGTCATCGATTATTTGTGAATTATAATTTTGGTACTTTTGGTAAAAATTTATAATCAAAATGATTTAATTAATTTATTTCCTTGGACGTTTAAAATAATAATCGATATTTCTATTTTTTGGAATTAAAGAAATTGAATTAGTTTTTTTTTCTAGGTAATATAATTATGAGTAGGTACCCTTAGTGCAAAATTTATAATTGTTAGAAAAAAAAACAAATATTTATTTATGTTTTTGGAATATATAACATATGATAACGTTTCTAAGTTTAAGTAAAATTCCACTATTGGGGCGGATTTCTAAGTTTAAATCCGGCCCTGGCAGCGGAAGAACGTCACATGTGGTCGCGATCCTCAGCAGTGAGGGAACGATATAGAAGAAGATTGTGTGCCTTATAAATAAACTAGCGACCCGCCCTCGCTTCGCTTCGGAAACTGTAATTTATTATTGATTTCTCCACTATTTAATGGATGTTATTATACATATATAAGCCTTCCACTTCAATCACTCTATCTATTAAAAAAAAACCGCATCAAAATCCGTTGCGTAGTTTTAAAGATTTAAGCATACATAGGGACAGAGAAAGCGACTTTGTTTTATACAATGTAGTGATAGTGATTATAAATAAACAACTCACTGATATCCAGAGTGGCGACGGAGTCTTTGACCAGGCGGTACGTGTCACCGTTCACGCGCAAGAAGTCGACGCAGCCGAGGAGACCTTCAGAGAGGCCGAGCTTGTTCTGAAGCCCGGTCGTGTTGCCCGTCCCGCCCAGCCACACCGGCTCCCGGAACGTCATGCGGGAGAACAGACCCTGATCGAAAAAAGCTTCAGTTAAAGCATAGACGTATCGGCAGTCGGAATCGGTATGAAGTCGTCGTGGCCTAAAGGATAAGACGTCCGGTGCATTCGTGGATAGCGATGCAACGATGTTCGAATCCCACAGGCGGGTACCGATTTTTCTAATGAAATACGTACTTAACAAATATTCACGATTGACTTCCACGGTGATGGAATAACATCGTGTAATAAAAATCAAACCTGCAAAATTATAATTTGCGTAATTACTGGTTGTAGGACCTCTTGTGAGTACGTACGGGTAGGTACCACCATCCTGCCTCCATGCATCTTGCATGCGTTTCGGTTTGAAGGTTGGGGCAGCCGTTGTAACTATACTGAGACCTTAGAACTTATATCTCAAAGGTGGGTGGCGCATTTCGTTGTAAATGTCTATGGGCTCCACTAACCACTAAACACTGGGTGGGCTGTGAGCTCATCCACCAATTTAAGCAATAAACAAAAAAAAATGTGTATATTAAAGTAAACGCCAATACTAATTCTTTTTACAGTCTTTTTTTTCCCTCTACCTAATCGTTGGTAGCATTCCAAATTCGCGTGGACGGAGAGATGAGCTCACGGGCTCAACCTGAGAGTTTTTTTTTTTTTTTATTGCCTTTGTAGGCAGACGGGCATACGGCCCACCTGATGGTGAGTGGTTACCGTCGCCCATGGACTTCAGCAATGCCAGGGGCAGAGCCAAGCCGCTGCCTACCGCTTAATACTCTCCACAAGCCTCGTTTGAAGAAGGACATGTCATAGCGCTCGGGAAACACCGTGGAGGGGAGCTCATTCCATAGCCGGATGGTACGTGGCAAAAAAGATCTCTGGAAACGCACTGTGGATGACCGCAGTGGCTCCAGGTAGTATGGATGAACTCTACTCCGGTGGCGGGCGGTGCGATGGTAAAAACGAGATGCTGGTATCATCTCGAACAATTCCTCAGAGCACTCCCCATGGAACATACGGTACAAAATACAGAGGGAACCGAAGTCCCTCCGCAGACCCAGAGGCTCCAAACGATCCGAGAGAATGGGATTATCGACAATCCGAACGGCCCTCCTCTGTATGGAGTCAAATGGAAGAAGCTGGTATTTGGGAGCCCCAGCCCAGAGATGGGAGCAGTACTCCATGCGAGGCCGGACTTGTGCTTTATAAAGCAAAAGTCTTTGCTAACACTAGCCCTAACAAGAGCAGTGCTTCGCTGAATCTACCACCGGATCGGAATCGCGACCCACTGAGAAGATTTACAATGCTAAAACCGAACAATTCGTACATGTTATGTCAAAATCTAATCTACATAGAGAACATTAAGTATATCTGTGTACGCCCTTTAGGCACCTGATAATTTGTTTGGTAACCTTGGTAAAACTTGGTAAATTTAGTAAAACAAACTTGGTAGGTTTGTTGTTCGCATTTCTGAAATGTTTTTGTTACGTAAAATGGCACCAGTGATGTTTAAACAGATGGTGTATTTCATATATTGAACTGTGCTCACCGAAATTCCTTATCATTTTTTTTTATTGCCTTTGTGGGCAGACCAGCATACGGCCCATCTGATGGTAAATGGTCACCGTCGCTCATGTACAACGGCAATACCAGGGGCAGAGCCAAGCCGCTGCCTACCATTAAGTACTCTCCGCAAGCCTTGTTTGAAGAAGGACATGTCATAGCGCTCGAGAAGCACCGTGGAGGGGAGCTCATTCCAAAGCCTTTGGATGGTACGTGGCAAAAAAGACCTCTGGAAACGCATTGCCCATGAACGCAGCGGTTCCAGATAATATGGATAAACTCTGCTCCGATGGCGGAAGGTGCGATGATAAAAAGGAGATGAGGGGATCATCTCGAATAGTTCCTCAGAGCATTCCCCATGGAACATACGGTATAAAACAAAGACTTTTTTTATAAAAAGTGAGCGAAACTCGGTCTACAAGTTTCAAACTCAGAGAGGTTTTTTAATGTTAGCATTTAGAGCGTGAGACGTCGATAGATCGACTCTTTATTAATGCGTATAGAGTTATTATTGCGTATAGAGAGCGTCGGAATACCAACTATTACGCAGTTTGGTACTGGTAGTACTGGTGGTAGGACTTCTTGTGAGTCCGCACGGGTAGGTACCACCGCCCGCCTATTTCTGTCGTGAAGCAATAATGTATTTCGGTTTGAAAGGTGGGACAGCCGTTGTAACTATACTGAGAGACCTTAGAACTTGAATATCAAGGTAATATCAAGTGGCGCATTTACTTCGTAGATGTCTATGGACTCCAGTAACCACTTAACACCAGGTGGGCTGTGAGATCGTCCACTCATTTAAGCAATAAAAAAAAAGTTTGGTATTAGGTATTAGTTATAAAAGCCCTCTTAAAAATATTTTGCTGTGAATTTAGCATTGCTTTTTGTATATTTTTTTTAAGTAAAGCTTTTTATTTTCTTTCAAAAATCCTTTGGAAATTTCTGGAAAATATGTGAAAATAAGCTCAAGCACTAAAAGGGTTAATTAACTTTTTGAACGATAATTCGAAACATTACTTAACCAGCCTTCGCCAATAACAAATTAAAGTCTTACGGGCCGTTGAGCCTGAAACGTGTCCTATTGTTAACGAATTGACTAATGAATTTTGTTTTTGCCAAGTATCGACTGTCATTCCTGATTAGTTTAGAAAATAAAAATCGGTAAAAAAACTTTTAAGTTAAACGGTTTTATTTTATGTGCACTGAAAACTACAAAATAAATAAATAGTTACTTACCTATCAACATACGTAGGTGATCTCGGTCATTAATATCTCTGATGGTAGTGGTTGTCATAACATGAACCATGTCAGCGGCCGAAAGGCAGTTCATGAAAGAACACTAACACCAGGGTTTGCTTGGTAGGTAAACTAAGCAGCCCACACTATAACAAGTAGGTATTTTGACCTTCTAGTTCAGAAATATTTTAGTACTAGGCAGAATAGCTTTTAGGCATATTAGACTAAAATAAAAACGTGGGGCCCCTCTGAAATCATACCTATGGCAGAGCATATCTTATACTTTGGTAGATCATGAGCTCGGCGTTCGCTGGTGAAGCCGCCACGGCTGGTTATTGATGGTCAAAACCTCCAGTTACGATTATAGTAAGTCGATTCAGCGGACCCTGGACTCCGGAGCTATGAGGTTTCGGATGCGACCGGGATAAACCGCTAGGATGATGATGATGACGATTATAATAAGTCGATACAATCCACACTTAGTATAGTAGAAAGTAATACAGAAATAATAATGGGCCCCACGTTTTTATTTTAGTCTAATATGCCTAAAAGCTATTCTGCCTAGTACTAAAATATTTCTGAACTAGAAGGTCAAAATACCTACTTGTTATAGTGTGGGCTGCTTAGTTTACCTACCAAGCAAACCCTGGTGTTAGTGTTCTTTCATGAACTGCCTTTCGGCCGCTGACATGGTTCATGTTATGACAACCACTACCATCAGAGATATTAATGACCGAGATCACCTACGTATGTTGATAGGTAAGTAACTATTTATTTATTTTGTAGTTTTCAGTGCACATAAAATAAAACCGTTTAACTTAAAAGTTTTTTTACCGATTTTTATTTTCTTGTTTTTAGTATTTAGAGAAATTGTTTACCGAATATTCCTCATTCTATTTAATTCACTCAGTGCATCATTATTACATGGTTTCTTACTTGATAATTTAGTACAATCTAATTCCTCAATACATAGCCCTTCCAGAGACTTGACTCGACTTAGAGCCACGTATGCTTGTCCTTCTTCAAACAATTTTGAGCCCAAATATACTACTGCATGGTCGACGGTGCTGCCCTGCATTTTATGGACGGTGGATGCCCATGACAAAACTAAGGGCAACATCCTTCTTTCAGCCGTGCCATAATTGAATTTTGCTGGAAACTGTATGGCTTTAGGGTAAATAACGTGCATGCCGTCTCTGCCAAAGTCAATTTGAACTGATGGTATATCTGTTTCGTACATTTGGGTTCGACGGAACTGAGGCCAAACAATTTCTGTAATGTGGCCTATAGCGCCATTTACCAATCCTTTTGTAACGTCAATATTGGACCGCAACATTACTTTTGCACCTACAAATATTTCAAGTACTGATGGTAAGCCTCCAGTCTTATTTATATCTGTTGGTATTATATTTGATAAATTTAGATTATCTGTATTTCGTGTGGCGTCAATTATTTGATCCTGTGCTTTTATGGTATAAATTCGAGATCCCTTGCTTCGGAACAGATTTAAAACCGCAGCGTTGTGATTGTTTACTTGCTGATTAGTGGGGTATACCCTTAACGCTTTGTCTGTTGCAAACTCATCACTTGGGTTTTGAATAACTCTTTGCATCAAAATACTAAAATGGTTAGCGGTTAGCTCACCTATTCTCAAAGCATTTAATATGTCAATAAAAGTATTGTCCCCTTGCTGACGCATATTCTCCGTCAGCTCACAGAGCGTGAACAAACGCCATAGATGCGTGGCTGGTTGGAGATGGTCGGGTTGTTTGAAAACAGGAGCTCCGGAGCGTTTGATTGGAGGCAGTTGTAACAGATCTCCAAAAAGTAAAACGTTTATGCCTCCAAAGAACTCGTCTTCATTATTCTTAACTTGTCTTAATCGGGCGTCAATCATACATAGCATTTGATAGGATACCATTGAAATTTCGTCGATAATGAGAAATTCTGTCTGCCTCCACTGCTGTCTCATTATTCGCAAATAGTTTCCGGACAAGGGTGACATACCAGTTATTCGTCCATCCTTCTGTACTGGCAACTTTAAGGTACTATGTATAGTAGCTCCATTTATCAACCGTGCTGCAACTCCCGTCAGTGCGCATACTTTTACCGCGTCCTTCGCATAGCACCTGTTAATTTGGTCTCGTAATAAATTTAGTAAAAACGTCTTTCCGACACCAGCACCACCTGTAAAGAATATTTTTAAGCGTTCTTCGGCACCCACTATTT